GTGTCCGTTTGAGCGGCGCTGTCCCGTTTGGGGCGAGAGGAGGTCTGCAGCTTCCTGTCCACTCCTTTTGCCTTCTTTCGCCCGCCGGAGGGGCACTCTGTGGGCTCCGCTGGCGTCCTCGGGAGAGTACCGTCGCTCGATTTTTTAAGTGCGGCGCACGCTCCTCTTGGAGGGCCTTTATTTTTGTAAACATGTCCCTCATGATCATGTTTATATGTTGCTTTTCCTTAGGTCGGCTGAGCAGCGTGTCGAGTAGGGTTCCCAACTCCGCAAGCCCTAGTTTTTTTACCGGCGTAGTCCTCTGTTCTTCTGTCGGACTATTATGGTCCCTTGCCCGCTTGGGCGTGTCCTGACCGTCCTCTGGTGCTGCCTGGGCTGCAACGCATTGATGGGAGGGTGCTGGGGTCGTGGCTGCGTTTAGGACTGGGGATCGTGCGATGCTTGAGCTGCTCCTGAACGCCGCTGCAGAATCCGTCTCTTCTTTCCTATTTGTCAGGATCGTGCTCGAACTGGGAGCATTCACTGCCGAGACGGCCAAGTTTGCCACCGTCTGGTCAGGTTTCGTTGGAATGGGATTTAGGGCCTCCAGAATCCGTGCCCTTGCCCCGGGTTTCCCCGCGTGTGGATTTCCACTTGAGTGGTTGCCACCTGGAGTAATTAGTAATTTAGACGACATTCTTCCATTTTGTGCATTTTATACCTTCTGCCAGGTTTTATTACAATTTTGACCTAATTGTCAGGTTGCATTTTAAACCTCCTGCCAGGTTAGATTGCTGCCGGCCACTAAGGCTAAGTCGCAGACCACGTAGCCGCCCAATGTGGAACAGACGCTACTTGGATTTATCTTGGAGTTGATCCTGTGCGTATGTGTACAGTGTGAAAATCCCATTCGCTTCCAACTCCTGGTCGCCGTTGAATGAGCAGCAGCACCTTAGTGTATGCTACGGTTCTCTGTTTTCGGGGCGATCGTCCGTCGTAGCAGTGTCACCGTGCGTTGCTTGGCACACGGGCGCCCTCTAGGCGGCGGCATCGAAGCTCGCAGCGCCGCCTGTCGGGAGGATCGGCCCGGTGGGGGCTGCCAGACCTTGCGTTTTGCAGGTTAGCCAATACTGGTTTGCAGCTGATTATGAGATCAGCTGACATGACCTGCACAATATTGTGGGAGCAGCCACATTTGGTCGCAGAGAGAGGTTTTTGGACGCATAGTGACAGTAGAAGAGAAAATCACACAAAAACAATTTCTCTTCTCACTCCTGTCCTCGGGCATCCAACCGGACCGCTGGACGCAGAAGAGCTCGTCCCAGGGACACCCTGGGCCAACCGTCTTGCCAGAGTAATCCGCTCCTCCTTGTAGCACCAACCATCGGCAATTTTTCGTACTCTGCAGGAGGCGCCGCAGCACAGCAGCGGAGCCCCACTCGGAGAGCCGGCGCAGCACATCCGCGCCCCACGCCTGTGAACTTTCACTCCTGACTCTATAAGCTTGTGTGCACCTATGTGGTCGATGTCACGCGCTAAGACAGCAGGCAAGTTAAACCAAACGAACGAAACTTGAGGGTAATTTCGATATTAAATTGTAGTTTTTAATTTGCACTACCGAATGTTTTATTTCACAAATAACGTCGGGGTCACCAAATGTTGAGCTAGCGAGCTTTTTCACTAGCTGTTGAATTTAGATTAAATTAAGAAGTCGAGCGATTCAATATACTTTATGTGTGTACAGTTTATTTGTTAAGCAGGCGAAATATGGGGTGCGTAGGTGTAGCGAAATAAAAGCGAGATGTGCCGGTTGATCAAATCGAAGCGAGGAAAATTTAAGACGCAGGGTCTGTTCAATATGCGAGAGAAGTGAGTGATTGATCAAGACGGTAGAACGTGAGTGCGATAATGATGACGATCAAATAAAGACTGTCAAGAGGGCAGGCGGATCGAATTGCCCGTGCCCTAATGCAAGCGAGAGAGAGAACGAAAGAAGCGATAGAAGCTCGGGCTACTGCTGAGCCGAGCACGAGCGATAGATAGAAAAAGAGAGAATGCAAGAGAATGGTATAGATGCTGCAGCTGCAGTAGTAAATGAAGAAGGAGATATAAAGAGGCGAAAGAACGGCCGCTGCTGTGCATAGACATAGGCTTATTAACAATATTTACATGCAGTGGGCAATGCAAATAACAAACAAACTTGGAATTATGTTAATTTGCTCCACTGGCTATTTTGAGGAATTTCTTGGGGAATATCAGGCTGGGAAACCAGACAGCTACTTTTAAGTTGGTAGGTGTTGTAATTCGCAACTGATCGATAGTTTTGTTCGTCATTGTCTTGTATTTTTGTTTCATTTATGTTACCCCTGCAAGATCGCGAAAACCATGTGCAAGGAGAGCAATGGTAAACTCAGCCAATACCTACTGTACCTACCACGGAAGGACTGTAGGATGCTAATAGGTATACTCACAGGTCATTGCCTGGCTGCAGCACATGCAGTCAAACTAGGCATCACCAACAGTGACAAGTGTAGGAAATGTGATGAATCTGGGGCTATCGAAACCCTAGAACATCTAATCTGCCAATGCCCTGCCCTCTCAAGGGCAAGAAACAAACATCATGGCAGCCCGGTACTGGCATCGCTGGAAGATGCATCCAAGAGGACGCCAGCGGAACTCCTTGCCTTTGCAAAACTCTCCTCGATCCTCACGGACTTCGAAACCGCGTGAAAACACTCAGAAGGTCCATACGCACCGATCCGTACAACTAAGGGCCATTTTGGCCTATGCGTGGCCCCGTGAGGGCCGTCCGGGACAACCTAACCTAACCTACCCCTTTTGATGGACGTGACATAGAATATGTTGAATATGATCCACTTTGCAATGCAGGGGAGAGAGAGCGTGCTCTCTCCTCGTTAACTTGCAGTGATGCAGGTTTTGTTAGTACTGCTGCATTTGGCGAGCGTATAGAGAAGTACGCGTTGTTTTTTGCTTGCGAGAGCCGACGCTCGTCTTGTTGCTGTTGCCGGGCTTGGCGCATTTGACTTTGGTTACAGTGCTTGTGCTCATTGCCGAGCTGGTGCTTTTATACGCTGACATTTGTTCTTTACTATTATTTCTATTATTCTTTATTGCACGATTGGATGGTATTGATGGGCAGCATGATTACTAGTACCCATGCTTACCCCCAGAGCTTTTTCGCGAATTAATTTACGATTAAATGCGATTAAATGATTTTCACGGCGGAGCGATACAAAAATACGTCTGAAGTCGTTGACGGTAGACATACTGAGTGTCTGTCTAAAGAAAATTTGGAGACGATAGAAATAGCCTCGTTTATTGCTTGAACCTCCGCTTGGAACACACTACAAAGATCCGGGAGTCTGAAACAATGACTAATGTTGAGCTCGTTACAGTAGACGCCACCACCCACACGGCCGTCTTCCCGAGTGGAAGGTTTCCAGAGTTTGGATTCTCATATTCTGAGAGCGGAAATAGTTGCCACCCTTTTCCCCATGAGTTCTACAGGGAGAGGGTACAACATGGTATCGAGGGCTTTGCCTGGGGTTGTGCGTAGTCCGCCCGTTATGCATAGCTTGCCATCCGTTGGACACGGCTGAGTTTCCTAAGACAAGGGTTTTTTTTCCAGTGCTGGCCACCTCACAACAACTCCGTACATTAGGATTGGTCATATGATAGCGGTATATACCCACCGGACTATATACGGGGTCATTCCCCATTTGGGTCCGATGGTTTTTCTGCAAGTATAGAGGGCCACAGTAACCTTCTTAACCCTATCCTCTATGCTCAGTTTCCAAGTTTTGGGGGAGTCAGTATCGGGATCTTGTACTTCCTGGTGAAGAGTACTAGTTCCGTTTTAGACGGCATAGCACCTAGCCCGCATTTTTCTTCCCATTGGGACAGTGGGACTATCATTCATGATAGTGCTTCTCATGCACCCGCATAGCGTCTGTGGAAATTTCCCAGAGAATGCTATGGCAACATCATCAGCGTACGCCACCACGTGACATCCACCCCCTTCTATTTCTCGCAGCAGTTCATTTACTGCGACGTCCATAGGAGGGGCGAGAGGACTCCGCCCTGCGGCGTACCTCTGCTGACAAACCTGGTGGAAGTTGACGTCCCCAGTGAGGCCTCAACGGTCCTGCATCGAAGCATCTGATCGATGAGACTCACCGTCCGGGAATCAGTCCTTAGGTCCGTCAGTGCACCCGTGATGGCGGTCGAGATGACGTTCTTAAAAGCGCCTTCTATGTCAAGAAAGGGCCGTGAATGGCCGTCTCGGTGGATCTTCCTTTCCGATAGGCGTGCTGAGAATCAGAGATTAGATTGGGCTGAATACTCGCCCTGAGATAAAGCCCTAAAAGCCGTTTCATCGTCTTTAAAAGAAAGGACTAAAGACTTATTGGTCTTTAATCTTTGGGGACAGTGTGCGAGGGTTTACCTGCCTTAGGTATTAAAACGACTTTGGTCTGAAGCCATGTGTCTGGAACTTGTCCGTGAGAGAAAATTCCTTCGTAAATCTGTTTGAGCCAGTTTATGGCCCTTTGTCCGGCGTGAATCAGTTGGGCTGGGATGATGCCATCTGTTCCCGCGGACTTGTATGGCTTAAAGCTTTTAATTGCCCAGGATATGTTCTCCTGACTTAGCAGGTTTAGAATGGATCTTGAGGCAACAGAAGGAGGTGCGCTGTAGGGACTGTGTGGGACTCAGGGTGAATACGGCCAGGTGGTCTGAGTAACGAGTCCAGTTTGTCCGCCTGAGGTTCCGGAATTTGACTGGGCTCGGTATGGAGAATGAGAAAACAGTTTCCACGTACCTGTGGTCCGAGAAGGAGTGTTCTTCAAGGACTCTCCAGGATACTATGTTATTCTGTATCGTGTGAGAGGCAAGTGTGAGGTCCAGGACCTCCTCGCGATTTTTAATAATAAACGTGGGATCGTTCCCCCGGTTTAATATGATCATCTGAGTGGTCAGTATATAGCTGAAAAGGGACTCACCCCGTTCATTGGTGTCAGTGCTTCCCCACTGACTGTGGTGTGCGTTGGCGTCGCATCCCACAATTAGGCCGATGTCATTGGCCTCGCAGTCTGCGATGAGAGCCCTTAGGGGCGCGTGTGGAGTGGGGTCAGGTTGGTCGTGACCCATGTATGTGGAGCACATCCTCAGTGAGCTCTCCTGGCCTTCGAGGCTCACCGCTGTGTGATCATCATCGCTGAAATTTGTCAGAAAAAATAAGTGTAACTCTCTTTTTGCAAGAATGCAGGTGCGGATTTTATCTGTGGTGTTAGCTACACATAGCTTATAGTCTTGAGTCTTCAGACCGGAAATCCTGTTTCCGAGGGTCCAGGGCTCTTAAATGAGGACTATGTCGGCTCAAAACTTGGCTAGGCGGAGCGCATGCTGCCTTACAATGATGGAGGTTTATCTGCAGGAGTGTCAGGGACATTTCTGAGACTCACCTCCACCATTGTGTCGTCAGCATCGCTCTCGGTGGACTCCGTGTCCTCTCCGACATCGATCCGTCTTAGACCCCTGACTAGGTCGCTTGCATCAGACTCGTAGCGGTCCAAGATGTCGTCCGACGCCGCGGTTTGGCTTTCCACTTCTAGGACCACTGGCAGATCGAGATCTGGCTGGATCTCTGCTTGCATGCCCTTAGAGTCGCATTTGTAGGGGGCTATGGTCACCTTCCGGTAGCCATAGTCCACTACTCCGTCCGACTTTTTCAGGAGTACGAGGACCATCTGGCGCCTCTGTCCAGTAACCTCATCCACCTTGGCCACCTTCCAATCGGCTGTAGGTAGGTGGGAGTTGCAGACCTGCAAAACCTTAAGGATCTTCTCCGGCTCTGCAGGCTTCACCGAGACCCACGCTCTGGCCCTCGGTCTGCTGGGGATGTCTACCCATTTGAAGGCCTCCAGTTTGGCCCCTGGGTAGACCTCCTTGAGCGCCGCAACTTCCTTTGTGTAGAGACCCGCCGAGCGAGCATTTTGGCAGGCGATGGCTTTCACCGTGCCTTGATGCCACCCGGCGTCCTCACATTTACGCGGTGGCACGCCATTCTCCGCGAATTCTCCAGAAATCTGTCCTGGAGCTCTGCATCGACCAGATGCCATTTGTCCTGAGGGACCTACCTGGAATTTCGGGATAATTGAGCTGGCCCAAAGCCTCTGCTCCTTCCCCTTCACCGACGACCTGAAGTACCACCAGTACCTCCGCCTGTCGAGGTTGACGAGGGTTCCCCGATCACAGGGCGCTTTCCAGCCGCGATTACGCTCTCCTTGGCAGCCACCCCGATAACTGGTTATCCCCCGGTGCCACCCGACGTGGATGGGCCCGATTGTCTTATCGGAACCCTCCTCGCATCGGTAGCTGCTAGAAGACGGCGGACCGACTGAGTCTCCTTCCCCGTCTTCATAGGACCTGGTTTCCCAGGCGTTGATGTAGAGGGATTGGCTTGTCCCTTTTGGTACTTTAGGAGGAGTACCGAGCTCCTTTGCGGCTTGTTTTTGGTAGTTTATTTTTGAGTTTGGCATGTTGTTCCCACGAGTATGGTCCCCCGAGGCATAGCCCGCTTGCCCCGGGAAGCCCAATTTAAGCTGGAGGTCGGCAGGTATCCAGAGTTCGCATATGCAGCACAGAGCTCCGCCTCGTCCACGCATCCATTAGCATATCCTGTTTCACCGTGGATTGGGGTAATTTCACTACAAGAGTTTTCTTCTCTCCGCGCGACTAAAATTAGTCAGCATCCGTGGCAGAGACTTGACCGTACCAGGACCTGTTTCCAGCCGCCCCCACGAGAATAGTTTAGTCGCACTTCCACTGGTGTGTACAGTTACGGCGGTGTGACCCAAAACGCACATACCCCTAGTCCAAGGGTCCAGTTATGGCGAGACGGCCCTTCATCTGTTAGTCCCCCTCTATTACCCGAATGGCTGACGGCGCGAAACGTATTAAAATAAATACATATTTGGCAATTGAATTAAAGGCTACTACTAATCTGCGCATATAACGAGCGCCAACATGTCCAAATATTTTAACACCATAAAATAGAGTGGGGATGAGAATGACTTTTGAAATCAGAAGTCTTATTTCTTCTGGCAAAAATTTTTTAGACGCTGACAATTGGCGTAACCGACCATAGATGTACTTCACATTCTGATAAGACACTAGGTAGATCATTAACATATATTGAAAACAATAAAGGGCCTAACACAGATCCCTGAGGGACTCCCCGCGTGAGTTCCATAAAAGTGGAAACTTTCGTACCTGAGACTACTGCTTGCAATCGATTTGTAAGATAAGACTTGACAAAGTTGACTGCAGTGTATGAGAAATTGAATAAGTTCGTCAATTTTGTGCAGAGTATGTTATGGTTCACGGAGTCAAATGCCTTACTATGGTCAAGAAGTGTTAATAACGTAACCCAGTTCTTGTCAAGTTGCTGTCGTATATCTTCCAAAATATCCGTTATAGGACTTATACAACATCGTTGTTTTTTTGAAACCCCGAATGCTTTTGGCTTATCAGAGCGTTTTTAGTCAAAAAGTTTTCAATCTGTAAAGACATACGACTTTCAAGAACTTTTGAGAGAAATAGAGGATTTGAAATGGGACTGAAGTCATTGCTATATTTTGGGATGGGTACAATTTTTCCCTTTTTCCATATAGTTGGAAACGAGGACGTAGTAATTGGGTTGTTAAAGACATACGTCACGTGGGACAAAATCTTGGGAAGTAATACATCGAAAACCTTCTGTAAAGTTCTTCGAAATTGACATCGTGCTCAGTCTTGTGTTTACATTTCCCAGTTCCCAAATTGTTCATTTCAGTCGAGTGAAACAGTTTTGAAATTTAGATTTATAGAAGTCACACTTAGCAGATCTGATACCCTTGTTAACTATTGCTCTTAATCGTTTGTATGTTAAACGAAATTCATCTGTTTTATAACGCTTCCATTTAAGGAAAGCATTGTCTATCTGATGCATTAGATTTTTTATATAACTGTTGGAACATGGTTTTTGGCTTAGCTTGGTTACTTTGGTTTTTAGAGGAACAAACTTATTGAACAGGTATTGAACATTGTTGTTTAAAACACTCAATTGACAATCAATATGGGGAGATTTGTAAATGTAAGACCAGTCACATGCATTATATTCTAGTTCTAGTTCATTAAGGTCAATATTCTTTTAGTCTCTATACGTAAAGGAATCAGTTTTGTAATTTAAAGTTAAGTCATATGTTATTAAAATAAGGTCATGTTTAGAAAAAGCTGGTACTGATACCTGGTCATAGAGTAAGGTCTTATTAGGGTCATTGATGAAAAACAGAAGTGTATCACAGGTATTGCTGAAGTGTGTAGGCATGGTCAAATTAACGGCATATAACCAGTGGCGTAGCTACGTACGTGCAAGACGGTGCGGCGCACCGGAGCCCTTGAGCTTAAGGGGCCACTTCTGTTTGAAATGCAAGCATGAATTCGACTTATATAATTTGGCGTCGTTTAAAGTATTTTTCATAAAATTCTATGGAGAAACGGCTGAAGTAACGTTCCAAACGGTAAAAATTGATTTTCGGAGGGTTGTTTGTCAACCAATTCCAGATCAGCCGACTCTTCATTGAATTTAATGAACATTACTTCAAACAACACCTACAAAAATAAAAAAATTTAAAAAAACGAGAAGTAAGTTGCTTCTTTGGACGCGACTCTACTTTTATACCAGTACCCAGTCAGTATATAAATTTTTGAGCTTATTATTTATGTGAAATTTTAAATATTTTACATTTTAATTTTGTTCTCTACATCTGTCTCTACATCTACATCTAATAGGTTTATTCTACATCTAAAATTTAGATTATACACCTACAATGTAGATTCTACATCGTCTCCGTGAAAGGGCACTCACTGCATAGGGCAGAGTGTGTGCGAGCGAGAAAGACAATGAGTAGCGTCAGCAGCGCTGGAGGAGGTGGGGAAGGGAACTGAAAATTAATTTCTTCATTCTGGCTATAATTATGATCTGATTAAGATTCGGCAATCTGCTAGATGTGGTCATTCTCAACGATACTGAGTTTTTAGTTTTATCATATCTTTAAAATTGTGCCTGCCATAGATTTTCGTCCTTTGGGTGGGAGGAAGGGGCGGGGCGCAATTTTGAAATACACTTGTAGCAGTGTGATATCACATGAGTCTGGAAACCAAATTTGGTTGCTTTAGCAGTTAAGGCCTAGCTCTTATAGTCTCTGAGATCCAGGCGACAAACAAGACGGACAGACGGACATGGCTATATCGACACGGTTATTAAAGCTGATCAAGAATATATATACTTTATGGGGTCGGAAACTTTTTCTTCTCTGCGTTGCACTCATCCACTTTTACCACAAATCTAATATACCAACTCTTTTTTGAGTACGGGTATAAAAACAATACTATACAAATTTTTAAATCACGAAATCTATCAGAAAAAGTCATTTTGGTCCACAGCGGGAAGAAAAAGTACAATTTTGTCGAGTAGTGTAATTTCTTATTTAAAAATGAGTTGTGATATAGGTAGTTCCCTAACCGGTTGCATGCTTAAAATGATTAGCAAACACCAAAATGGTCTTAAAGTTGTCTATATAAATGCACAAAGTTTGCTGAGGAAAATTGATGAGTTTACTGTTTACCAGTTCAAATGTAGATATTATATGTGTGTCCGAGACGTGGTTTGTACCTGATTTTTGTGATTTTCAATTATGTGTGACGACATGCAGGTGGTGTTACTATATGTTTTAATAATAGATAAATATGTAATGTTAAATTAAACAACCAAGTGAACGTCTAATTGAATCTACTTTTTGATATATTAAGCAAAGTAAATAAGAAAATTTTACTTGGATATATACATATGTAGACCCAATAGGACAATTGACTATGTGCCATTAATTAATACTATCTCGGACATTTCAGTGACATACACGGACATTATTCTGGCCGGCGATTTCAATGGCAATATCTTGAAAGAGAGTCATCTATTAGATAGCTTTGCTTCTCTGGGGTTGTATGCCGTTAATGTAACCATGCCTACACACTTCAGCAATACCTGTGATACACTTCTGTTTTTCATCAATGACCCTAATAAGACCTTACTTTATGACCAGGTATCAGTACCAGCTCTTTCTAAACATGACCTTATTTTCCTAACATATGACTTGACTTTAAATTACAAAACTGATTCCTTTACGTATAGAGACTATAAGAATATTGCACTAATGAACTAGAACTAGAATATAATGCATGTGAATGGTCTTACATTTACAAATCTCCCCATGTTGATTGTCAATTGAGTGTTTTAAACTACAATATTTAGTCCCACTTCAATAAGTTTGTTCCTCTAAAAACGGCGGAAAATTTGTTCACTTTTGTTATTATTTTAATGGTTGTGAATGTGATTAAACACCAAAATATATACTTGCACAATCTTATCATATTGCTGGACATGGATGATGATAATGAGGCCAACATTGACGAGGAGAATTTATTGGAATGTATATCTGTTTTGAAAACACTCTACACTGCTTCTACTAAATCTAGTCAATGTTTTAAATAAAAATATATATTCTGTTTGTTGAGAAGCGGCTTGGGACATTTTGGGAATAGTCGGAAGGCTGTCAGCCAATAGCGAGTGCAATATCCATTCATAAGCATTCATAAAAACATTCCCAGAGGATAGTCCACAAACCGAGTTTTAGTGCCTGAGACAATCAAATGTTTTGTTGTTCTTTTTACTATTTTTCTGTCTGTCAATGTTTACATTTTCGTGGTTCATGGCACTTTTTCGTTGCGAATGTCATATATTTATGGTTGCATTTGACAATTATCGAAAAAATACCGCACAGAAACGTGCGAATTAGGAACATCCCAGATGTATGGTGGTATAACTGGGAAATTTTCGGAACGGCAAAACCTTACGGACCATCCCAGAAATGGATGGTGGCCTGTGGGAACAGGCTATTACCAAAGACAATATATGAATACATTTCAATTGCCATATGCAAGCCAATTTTTCGGCAAGCGACAAAATCCGCGCCATCTCGCTCGCACAAATTTGAGAGCGTTCGAGTCTAAAAATAGAATCCGCTTGCATGTGTGAGTACACACAGAACCAGCAAGTGCGTATGTGTGCGTACTTGTGCTCAGCGGACGATTTTCGAGACGGAAACCTTTTTATGAGTTGAGAAACGAAATTATTTACCGGCGTTGAATACGTCGCACGCTGAATACCCGAATGACCATTATTCCAATGTGAAGTCATGTATTAAATATATTATGTATTTTTATATATGTATATCCGCTCATTATTATCGAATATAAGATGTTAAAAGAAATTATCATTGGAAGGATATACAATATACGAGTTTTTATACCCGTACTCAAAAAAGAGTTAAGGGGTATATTAGATTTGTGGTAAAAGTGGATGTGTGTAACGCAGAGATGGAAACGTTTCCGACCCCATAAAGTATATATATTCTTGATCAGCATCAATAGCAGAGTCGATATAGCCATGTCCGTCCGTCCGTCTGTCCGTCTTGATGAACGCCTAGATCTCAGAGACTATAAGAGCTAGGGCAACCAAATTTGGTTTCCAGACTCATGTGATATCACACTGCTGCAAGTGTATTTCAAAATTTCGCCCCGCCCCCTTCCGCCAACACAAAGAACGAAAATCTGTGGCAGGCACAATTTTAAAGATACGAGAAAACTAAAAACGTAGTATCGTAGAGAATGACAATATCTACCAGATTGTCGAATCTGAATCAGACCATAATTATAGCCAGAATGAAGAACTTAATTTTCAGTTGCTCCACCGCCTACTTCTGCCAGAGACCCATACTCATTTTTTTTCTCGCTCGCACACTCTGCCGCGTTCAGTTCGCGAGCAACCCCTAGCGGAGGAGATGTAGAATCTAAATGGTACATGTACAATCTACATGTTAGATGTATAATATACATAATATATGTAGATGTAGATAACAGATGTAGCAAAAAAATGTAAAATTCTTTTTTTTAATTCTAAAATTTTAAAAAATCATATGCTCAAAAATGTATATACTGACTGTGTACGGGTATAAGCAGAGTCGCGTCCCCATGGAAAATATCCTTTTTCGAACTTGGGGGCGGTAGGTTAGACCAGCCAGAACACAACCACCGCCATTGCCAACTTTTGAAGCTTGAATATGTATCCTATTATTCCATTGACACATTTGGTTTGGACTTATTTCTGCTTTGGTTACAAATTTTCGGTTACCCAATGTAGGTTGGTTTGTTTTTCTTATGATAACGTTCGTTTTTTTATTTTAAATTGAACTTGATTTTTAAATCTTAGTCTAGTGTAAGGTGGGCTCCTAACTATGTTTTGAATTGTTAAACGTTTCGTATTGTTTTC